TGGAGCTAATGAGCCAAGAAGTGATTTAATTAATACAGTTTCTGTGTGATTATTTGGGGCTAAATGGCTGGGAACAAACTAGTGGCCTCCCCCATCCAACAAGCTCCTATTCTGGATTATGAATATTGTTTGCTGTGTCAGCTCCTAGACACACAGAATTAAAGTAAGCCCAGTCCCTGTTCTCTAGGAGTTCTGTAGGGGACAGATACATCAACCAACTTTTGCAAGGTGAAGAAAACCCCAATGTACAGGGGGCCATACAAATACTTCTCATTTTTCACTGTTTCGGTTTTGTTTCTGTTAGAGTTCTCTCCTTTACTGGAAATCCTGAATGGTGCTTATCAGTTCTGATTGGCCGTCAGAATCACTTTGAAAGGCTCAGCAAGTCTACTTTCCATTGAGACGAGACTTGGGAATAGAGCACAGTACCATGGCAGGGCCTCTTCCATTTGCTGAACCCAGGCCCCAACACAATTCAGGCAACACTCACAGGCCTTGCATCCATTGGCTAAGAGTCTGGCATGTGACTTAATTTTCATGGGAACTTAATTTTTGTAATTGGCGAGCATTGCAGGTTTGAGGAGTCACTTGGATGCGTTTGGAGCCCCTTTTGTTAGAAGATGGGAAGCAAGACACAAATCACAGGCTATCTAAGCGGTGCAGGAAGACTTTCTTCCTCTAGTCTGAATGGGACCCAGATCCGCTTTGGCTCTGCAGGAGCCAGGCATTTGGGGGAATGGAATGGCAGAGGTCATCTTACACTAACAGACGATAGACTAGATTCTGTGGGGTTTGAGCCGCAGAGTGGCAGGGATGGTTGATTTTGGCTCTGAACAAATGTGGAGCACCCCCCAACTCCCAAATCCTTTTCAGACGTGAAGGCGATGCCTTGTTATGTAAAGAGCAGCTCAAGTCAATGATTGTGCACACCGATGGCAAATGTGACTATCGTTTGCGGTGGTGATCTCAGGAGGCCTGAACAAAGCAGTTACGCAGCTCAGTAAGATGTAAGCACAACTCAAGCAAACACTTGCAGGGCCCGGTGACAAGACCCAGACCCCGAGAACCAGGGGCCCCAAATCTATAAGCAAGACGGAAAGGAGAAAGGAATTGCTTTTTCTTTTTCTTTTTCTTCACTTAGCGAGTGCTTTTTATCTCCAGGACCTAGTTAGCAACATTTCTTCCTGTGAAAACTACCTTATTTACATTAGAACAGCAGGAGAAACAGAAATTTCATGCTGAGATTAATGTGAAAATTTGTTGAAAACAGGAAAGAGCTATTAACTCGTATGGTGCAAACCTCTCACATTAAGTATCCTGCTAAGGAGCAAAGACCGTCTTTCCCTCTTTCCTGACTTCCCCTCTCTCAATCCTGTTCTCCCTTTAGGTCTCCTTCAGTCTCTTTCTCAAAGAAAAATGCTGTTTGGAGTATTTTATGGGAAGCAGCCTTGAATTCCAAAAGGCTTTCCTCGGGGCAGGAGCACCCTAAATTTCCCAGTTCTTGCTCTTATTTTCCACAACGACCCTGTAGTAAGAACTATGATTTTCCCCAAACAAACAAACAAAAGCCCGGCAGTGGTGGTCTTTAATCCCAGCACTAGCACTTGGGAGGCAGAGGCAGGCGGATCTCTGTGAGTTCAAGGTCAGCCTGGTCTATAGAGCGAGTTCCAGGACAGGCTCCAAAGCTACACAGAGAAACCCAGTATGGAAAAAAAAAAACACAAAACAACAACAACAACAAAATCAACCAACCAACCAACCAAACAAACAAAAGAAAACAAAACAAAACAAAAAAACCAACTATGATTTCCATTATCCCTTGCCAGAGAAAACACTTCAGTGGGGAGCAAATAGTGGCACCCATGACGAGACTCCTACTGTGTTAGAAACAGTTAATCGTGGGTACACATTATGGTTCTCTACAGAGCTTTACACAGAAGCCAGAGGATCCCCTGTTCAGATCAGTTAGCACAGAACGGAAGAGCTACACATAAGGGTACTTAGTGTGAACCTCACCTCACCCACTTGGCAGCTGTATGAGGCCAGGTACTTAATTTCTCTGTGATCGTTCTGCAAAATTCTCTGTGCTTTGTTTGCAAAACAAGACTAGTAACATCTCTGGATAGTCTAAGGATAAAATGAGTTGATAGGAGCCAACCTCCGAGATTAGAGACTATCACACGGCAATAGCTACTTAAAATCCTGCCATATACACGAGAGAGCACTTTAAAGTGTTTAAGAGCACGTATTACTACTCTTCCAGAAGACCCGAGTTCTAGTTCCAGCAACCAAGTCAAGTTGCTCACAACTACCTGTAACTATAGCAGTGGGGATCTAGCGCTTCTGGCTTCTTTGGTCACCCACACACGTTGCATACACACGATTAAAAATAAGTATTTATTAAATAAATCAATAAAACTAAGTCTGAGCATCAGTGTTTTTAGAAATATTTTCAAAGCATAAAGCACAGCTTGTGTTTTCCATCTCTGAAAGCGTCTCTTTTGGGATCCTGCCTCCGGAAAAGTTGACATCAATCAGAGAAGGGGGTTTGTAGTGTTGTTTGTAGTGCTGTACTTTTCGTTTCCTGGGACCGTCTCAAAACTTGTTACCTGGTCCCTGAGGGACCACTGGGCCTGAGGGCGGAGGCGTTTGCGCTTAGCCTCTTGGGAGTTGTAGTTTCCCTGGGGTCTAGCGCACGCTCTGCCCGCAGCCTGGGTACTACAAACCCCACAAGCCCTCGCGGCACCGTCCGCCTCCGCCCGCGCTCCTCCGCCAGCTCGCAGCTCCCCGCCCCACGGTC